CCAACCCTCAGTCTCCCTCAGCGCTCCCACCCACCCATCATCATCTTTCTTTCCAGGGGCAGAGAATCTGTCTTGGCTCTGGGCCGATGATTGAACGCTTTAATTTATTTGCCAGGAGAGGTCTTTACAGCTTTGGCCTCAGTGATTCACACACAGCAGTTGGCTGGGATAAGTACTATTCAGTGCCGAGAGGGCTCTGGGATGTGCTGCTTGAGATAAAGCTGCTAGAAAGGAGACTTGGAGGGATCAAAGCAGGGTGGGGAGAGACTTAGAGGAGGAGGAAGTTCCTGGGAGGGAGGGCTCTGCCCCAGCTAGGGGCTAGCTCACAACATATCGGCTGGCTGAGCAAAGATTCACCTAAGAAGCTATAACAGGGCCTCCCCGGTGGCGCAGCAGTTGAGCGCTGGGTTGCGAAGCTGCCCACGGCCTCTGCGATGCCGGTTCGATCCCCGGCTGCTCCCCGGCCACCGGAGGAGGGTCCCACATGGCGCGCAGACCTCTCCTGCCGCCCGCTGCTCCCCTCAGCAGTGTACTTCGGTCCCTCTGCCTGCTCTGCTCCCCGCTCTGGCTCTGGTGAATTCTCTCACCCTCCCGCGCTTCTGACTGTACCCAGTGCATGTATAAATAAATAAATAAATCTTTAAAAAAAAAAAAAAAAAACAGTATCTTTCTCAAAAAAAAAAAAAAAAAAAAAAGAAGCTATAACAAATTAAGCTGCCCCAGACCAATTAAAGGAAGCATTTGTATTTTTAAAAAGCTCTCCTGGTGATTCTAAAGTTCACCCAGAGACAGTATCAAGAGGCTTAGCTAAGGTTCCTGGAGGTATGAGGAAGAGAAAGGATGGGCACACCCTGGGGAAGGGAAGGGGTGTCAGGTCCATCACACCCCTTCTTCCTCCCCTGTAAGGCATGCAAAAATCCCAGGACAGGGGGCCTCCCTGGTGGTACAAGGAGTTAAGACACAGCACTATGAAGCTATCCACAGCCACTGCAGCAAGAGTTCGATCCCAGGCCAGGGAGGTGGCCCACATGGTGCAACAGACTGCTGTCTGCTGCTACTCGCCCGCTGCTCCCCTCAGCAGTGTATTTCAGTCAATTGCCTGTTCTGTTCCCCACCCTGTCTCTGGTGAATCATCTCTCCCTATACCTCTAGCCTGTACCCCAGTTCTTGCATGCATAAATAAATAAATCTTAAAAAAAAAAGTTCCAGGACGGGGTATAGAACCTGAGCAAAGGTACACACTCTAAAAGAGAAGGGTGGCTACAAAACTCAGCATTACTGGATGCAAGGTTGGTGGGGGTGGGGGAGGGTCTCTGCAGCTCAGATGCCCCAGAGAGTAATGGGGACAGGGGGTACAGGGTAGAGAGGGCAGCAAGGCAGCCTGGGCCTCTTGCCTTTGCTTCCTTTCTTCCTGATGTCATGTCCTCTCCCCACCATCCTAACCCTCCAAATATTCCCAGTTCACAAAGTCCCAGTTCAAATGACACGTCCCATTCCATCAACAAGCAAATGCAGAGCACCTCCGGAGTGGTAAGTGGAGACCTGGTGTTACAGGGCAGGGAGAGGGGCACCCCAGACCCCACAAACCTGCCTGCTCTAAATAGGTTCTGCCATCCGCCGCATCAACACAAAACATGAGACTTTAGTGAACAAGAATTTTAATACAATTAATAAATACAGGAAATGCAAAGAATATAGTTTCTAAATCAAGCACCCAAAGTTACCCATCCCCTTGTGGGTAAAAGTCTACCCAAGCAGGATTGGCCAGGAGCAAGGCCCCAAAGCCTGCCACAAGTCTAAAGCACCTTTCAGTGGGGACACACAGAAAAGGATCAGAAACAACCAAACAAGTCTGGAAGGAAAAAGCAAAATCAAAATCAAGATAAAAGCTGCCAGGCCTCCCCTGGTGGCACAGCGGTTGAGTGCTGGGCTGAGAAGCTGCCCGCAGCCTCTGCAGCGCTGGTTCAATCCCCAGCTGTGGGTGAGGGTCCCACATGGCGCGCAGACCTCTCCTGCCACCCGCTGCTCCCCTCAGCAGTGTGCTTCGGTCCTTCTGCCTGCTCTGCTCTCCCCTCTGGCTCTGGTGAATTCTCTCATCCTCCTGTGCTTCTGACTGTACCCAGTGCTTGTATAAATAAGTAAATCTTAAAAAAAAGATTGTAATTAAGAGATGAAAACCTAAAAAAAAAAAAAGCTGCCATTGTTATCCTCCCCATGGGTCTCTCACCCACATCTGTGTCAACCAATCCATGACCAAAAGGCAAGCGCAGTTTCTTCATGTGTCTCTCTGCTCCATGTGCCTCCTCCAGGCCTCCTCCAGCTCTCTGTCCTGCTTCCTTCCTTCCTCAGTCTCCTCTGCAGCTTCTTCTCTCCCTGCTCAGCTCTACCCTCCCTTTGGGTGGTGCAGGAAACCTGGAGCCTCCCCCTTTCCTGGGGACCACCCTGTTACAATGCCCCCTTTTAGGTTTTATTCCACTGTATCTATGGTGGCACAGATCTCAGGCTGTAGTCTTAGAAAACAGTCTTTTTTCAGGGTTACAATGTATGTAAGAGAAGCAACAATTAGTCAGCATCAATGTCCATGAATGTCTGTTATGACAGTTTTCCATTACTGGAAAATAGTCTACTATACAAGCCAAAAGAAAAAAAAAAAAAAACATCTGGAGGCATTAGCCAAAACAAGACAGCAAATATATCAAAATCACAGGGAAAAAAATCTTAAAATTGGTTCAACTTATCTAAAAACAAGTTCTCTCAACCTTGATCCCAAATTGTTTCAACAGTGAAAGTTTTGGCGCAGTAAAGAAAAGGAGAGCCAGTATAAATTTCTCAAAAGAGGGGAAAATTTATTGCGCCCCCGGGTGAAATTCATGGACCCAAGGTGGGGTCAGTGAATTCGCATCTGTTGTTGGGGGAGATGTCCTTTCATAGGGTGAGGAGAGTTTAGACAGGAAAACTGGGTTGGCAGGGGTGGGAACAAGTTTAGGTGGAACAAAGTTGTCTTCCGTGGAGCCGAGTTGTTTTTCTCCTGTTTATGGCTTCAGTTTCAGTTTGATGGTATCAGTGGTACTGATGTCAGGATCATCTTGTTTTTTTCTATGTGGGCTTCCTCATTTCTGGCCCCTGCATCGACCTTTCAAACAGCATTGCAAAAGTTTGCAAACTAAATCTAATTTTTAACCATATTACTCATTTTTGCATAAAATCAGGGCAGAATAACTCAACAGCAATTTTAGCTGGCTTTGTTGGAACACTCTATATAACATCAGAGCAAACTCGACATTCGGTCCAAGTAGGCTTCAAGAACAAAGTTGGTTTCATCAGACTCCACCTGGCCTTCCTTTTCTCGAGGGTACAAGGGCTTTTCCTTTTTCCAGGTTGTCCAGTCCTGCCTATGGAAGCAGCTTCCTTACCTCCTTTGGAGGTCTCTGGAGCCTAGACAAACAGCGGGTTCTCCTCTTCTTGGTCCAGCTCTGTTTCATCTTCCTGGAAGATTCCACTCACAGCCACACAATGACACTCATCTCCAATTTTTTTGTTTTAAGCAGACAAAATCCCTATAGAAGTTATGCAAAAATAGACACTGACATGAGTAGTAAAAATTACTGCCACTATTTTCATGCTGTGTTGGTATCAAGGGGAAAGAAAATGCAAACACAAGTTAGCTTTGCTGAGAAAAGAAAAAATAATTTAACATTGCTGCAGGCCCTGGTCAGTCAAAACAAGAAAACTTTGTGGATTCAGAGCAAAAATGAAAAAAAAAAAAAAAAACCCAGTATTATGTCTAAGAAAACATAGTAAAAATCAGGTGTATTTCCAGGTCTATTCAGTTCTTTGTAGCAAATTTTTACTCTCAACAGTTCCATCAATAGTAATCTGTTGAGCAAAGAAAATAATCCAGTCAAAAAATGGGCAGAAGAGCTAAAAAGAAACTTCTCTGAAGAAGAAATGCAAATGGCCAACAGGCATATGAAAAAATGTTCAACATCACTTGTAATCAGGGAAATGCAAATCAAAACTACCATGAGATACCATCTTACACCAGTGAGAATGGCACATATTAAAAAAACTAGCAACAACAAATGTTGGCGAGGGTGTGGAGAAAAAGGAACTCTCCTGCGCTATTGGTGGGAGTGCAAACTGGTCCAACCACTATGGAGAGCTGTGTGGAGATTTCTGGACCTACTAAACATAGAGCTTCCATATGATCCAGCAATTCCACTCCTAGGTATTTACCCAAAGGACACAGAAACATCAATTCCAAAGAATACCTGCACCCCTATGTTTATAGCAGCACTATTTACAATAGCTAAGCTTTGGAAACAGCCCAAATGCCCAAAAATAGATGACTGGATCAAGAAGATGTGGTACATATATACCATGGAATATTACTCAGTGTTCAAAAAAGATAAACACATGCAATTTGCAGCAACATGGATGGCGCTGGAAGGGATCATGCTCAGCGAAATAAGCCAGAAAGAAAAAGAAAAATACCGGATGGTCTCACTCATAGCAGGAATCTAGAAAACTTAAATAAGGGACCAGGAAAATGAATAACTATAAGAAAGTGAAAATCAAAATCAACAAAAAACTATGAACCAGAGACACTTTTCGGGGGGCGGGGGGTGGGTGGGAGGGGAGGGATTGGGGTCAGAATGGGGGGGTTGCAATTGTATGGGGAATATAAAAATAAAATTTATTATTAAAAAAAAAAGAAGGTATTGGATAGAACAAGGAGAATGGACATATAGCTCATTTAAGAGCAAAGAAGAAACAATACTGTCTTTGGAGACAGGTAGGCCTGGGTTTGAATCCTTGCAGAAGTAATTTAACCTTTCTAAGTTTAGGTTTCCTCACCTGTAAAAAAGAATTTATAATTTCTCATTGGATTTTATGGATTTAATGAATGTATACAAAACATTTAACATAAGATATATACAAAGATTGATATAAGAATTTGAGGAGAATATTTAATAGTGAAATAAAACATTATCCTTGGGGGAAAAAAAAATAGTAATCCGCTGAGGCCTTCCCCCCCTATTTTCTCGAGAAACAATTTCTGTAGATATCAAACAATTGAAGTATACAATATTGCAAGGTGACAATCACCATTGACAATTTACATACATATCAGATACTGGGAGATTTTATACACATTTTGGAAAACCAATGTTAACATTTCTGTACATGTCAAGTTTTACCATTTTCCCAAGTGACAATGCTTCCCTTCTGTTTTACTTTACTAGGTAAACCAAATGGGACAAATTCATCTAATGCCTTTCCCAGGAGGAAAGGGAGAAATTTCGTGGAGTGTCTCAGGAGCTCTACTGAGGTTCCACAAAATTTCCTTCTATCATCCAAATGACAGGCTACCACATTTTTACTTGAATTTAAGTTTCTGGGAAGCTTTGCCATAAATATCAGAAAACAGCAGAAACATCAATATTCAATCTCTTTGAAGGCACCAGCTTAGTTCAGTATTACAATGTTTGTTACCGAACGCCGGCCTCAGTTTCCCTCAGCCAATAAAAGGAAACTAAGTTTGAGGAAAAGGAAAGCGGTTTTATTTGTCGACAAATGAGGAGGGCGGCAGACTCACGTCCAAAAAACCACCGTCCTGCTCTTTGGCAGTGGGCAGGGGTATTTATACAGGGGGAGATGGGTAGGCATCCGCGAAGGGGAGGGGGAAGGGGTCCGCACAGAGACAAGTGGGCGCCAGCTCAACAGGGAGATGGATGGGTGTCAGCTCATTCATCTTAAGGGAAGGGGAAGGTGTCAAGGCACAGAGACGGGTGATCGCCAACTTGTTTTCCTTAAGGGTCTACAGGGAAACCGGTGGGCGCCAGCTTTTTTTTCTTCCCAAGGGGAGGGGAAGCTGCAACAAATGGGAAAGACAAGTCATCAATCCTGTTAATGCTAGATAAGGGGAATTGCAAAAAATGGGGGAAAGACAAACTTGTTAACTGTATCATGTTCACAATCAAACCATAACCTTTAGTTTTTTCCTCATAACTGGAGACTCTTTTTTTTTTCAATGTCTATAGGCACCATGTATACTGAGAGAGACACAAGGACATACAGGCATACAACATATAGACAGACAGTTTTTTTTTAGTTATGACACGTGGAATATGTTATGTAACTGCAGTTTTACTCCATAGACTCAGAAAAAAAATCTCAACTCCAAAAAAATGTGGAGTGTTGCTGGCAGAAATCACATATTCCAGTTGTCATCCTACAAACCTAAGACTCTGGAAATAGGAAGAAAAAGTTTTATTAATTACAAGAGTTACATGACCTTGTTTATCACTTTAGGGTTTTCAATGTTCAAGCCTTTTTATTAGAAGCCAATCCTGGGGTATCCTGTACAGCAGCTGTCTTTCAGCAAAATCAACAGTTAACTTTTAAGCAAAAGGAGTTGCCTCTTGTTAGCCACCAAGCAGGCAATCCTTGGGCTTTCTAGAACAGAACCTGAAAAAGCAAAACCAAAATATCAGCAATTAACTTTCAATTAAAAGGAGTCATCTCCTTACTTCTGTTAGCCACTCTGGGTCAAGGTGAAAGTGTTAGGGGGGAAGGATGTCCTGAGCTAATTCCATACAGGCTTTGTGGACTCCACCCCCACTCCAGACCAAAGCCATCAAGACATTGGGAAAGACAAATCCCATCACCACCAAGGGGAAGGTGGCTGGGACCTGAGGGTGGAGTTACCCAGCCAGGTTTGGTATAAAAACCAGACACGTGGGCCTTGGGGTTTGGCTCTCGCCTCTTGGCTTCTCAGCTGTTGGCTTACCACCAGCTCTCAGAGTGCCATTTGGGATTCCAGATCAGGGGAACGGGTAGGACGCATTTAAGACTTTATCTCCCACTTTTCTCCCTGAGTTGTACATTTCCTCATTTCCCCTTACCTTGTGAATAACGGGTGGGTGAGGACCCACAGTCAGGCAACTCTTTTATATTGGGGCTGCCCTGTAACAAAAGAGCAGATTCAACATCAAAGCGCAGATTACACCTCCCCCACACTAGGGAGGGACAGCAACAAAATGGGTATGAAAACCTGGTAGTTACATAATGCACCATAAAGAGTGCTTTCCACAACAGACCTTCCTCAGTAGGAAGCAGAAACTTAGAATTTTGTCTTACACAAGCAATTAAATCCAGAATTCAAATGGCAAACATGCCCAAAACAAATTGTGTAGACATAATTCACAGCAGCAAATCCTTTCAGACTCATACAAAATCTTTTTGATTTTTCTAATCCAGACGTTTGCAAAAATTCAAGTTATATTCAAGAATCCATCAAGGCTACCAGCAACTGCTCAAGGCTACTTTTTTGTTAACAGCCAGGCATACATTTGCTAATTTAAACACCATTGGTCCACAGTTGGCTTGCAAAACCCCTCAGGCAGAGGTCAGGAAGTAGTTTAAGTCAAAGCAATATATCACTGAAGAATCATTATTGCCTTTAGAAATGCTAATGAGACAGCAGAAATCACAAAAAGAAAAAAGGTCCAAAGTCCTAGCAACAAGAACCTGAGTTTTACAAGAGCCTACCAAGTGGCCTCAGATGCCATCTTTGATCTGGCCACATGGTCCAACATACTACCTAATCTTTTGAGTAAAACTGCTGCACAGAACAATTTCCACAAAATCAAATCTCTTAGCAAGTCACTACAAACAAATTACACACAGACACAAAGAATCTTCACAAAGCCCAAGCCAGTTTTTCAACACCAAATCTACATATGAAACAAACACACCAGAGAAACCGGAAAATCACATTTGCGCTTATGGTAACCAGTGCCATAGGGAAGCACAATTTCCCCATGAGGCTGACTAACCACGGATGGCTCTGTCCTAAATCATGTTGGGCACCAAATCTGTTACAGGGCAAGGAGAAGGGCACCCTAGACCCTGCAAACCTGCCTGCTCTAAATGCTGCCATCCGCCGCATCAACACAAAACATATGAGACTTCAATGAAAAGGAACTTTAATACAATTAGTAAACAATATGTTGTAGAGCAACCCCAATACAAAACAGGGATCCTGACTGTAGGTCCTCACCCGCGCGCTTAAAAGGACTTATCAATGCTCTACTGCAGGCACACGCGAAAGGTTAATAAAAGGTTTATTGACAAGGGAAGGGGAAATGAGGAAATGTACAGCTCAGGGAGAAAAGTGGGAGACAAAGTTTTAAATGAGTCCTACCCGATCTGCCGATCAGGAATCCCAGATGGAGCTCTGAGAGCTGGCCGCAAGCCAGGAGCCGTGAAGCAGGGAGGCGAGCGATAGCCAGCCCCCCAAGGCCCACGTGTTTGGTTTTTATACCCAACCTGGCTGCTTAACTCCACCCTCAGTTCCCAGCCACCCTCCCTTTGGTGGTGATGGAATTTGTCTTTCCCAATGTCCTGATGGCTTTAGTCTGGAGTGGGGGTGGAGTCCACAAAGCCTGTATGGGATTAGCTCAGGACATCCTTTCCCCCTAACAAATACAGGGAAGGCAAAGAACATAGTTTCTAAATCAAGCACCCAAAGTTAACCATCCCCTCATGGGTAAAAGTTCACCCAAGCAGGATTGGCCCAGAGCAAGGCCCCAAAGCCTGCCACAAGTCTAAAGCACCTTCCAGTGGGGACCCACAGAAAAGGATCAGAAACAACAAAACAAATCTGGGAGGAAGAGAGCAAAATCAAAATCAAGACAAAAACCACCATTGTCACCTCCCCACAAGTCTCACCCACATCTGTGTCACCCAGTCTATGACCAAAAGGCAAGCGCAGCTTCTTCACGTGTCTCTCAGCTCCATGTGCCTCCTCCAGGTCTCCTTCTGGCTCCATCCTACTTCTTTCCTTCCTCAGTCTCCTCTGCAGCTTCTTCTCTCCCTGCTCAGCTCTGCCCTCCCTTTGGGTGGGGCAGGAAATCTGGAACCTCCCCCTTTCCTGGAGACCATCCTGTTACACTGGGTCCCCCAGAAGCTGACCCTGGGAGCCACTGCTCTCAGCGCAGTGCCCTAAGTACCCTGGAGACCTGGGAGCCCAGCAGCAGGGCTTCTAAATCAACCCAAAGTTTTGCTCAGTGAGCTTGAGGTTTCTAGGAGAAGGTGACATGGTTAAGCTTTCTTTTTTTTTTTAAGGTTTGTTTATTTATGCATACAAGAACTGGGGTACAGGCTAGAGGTGTGGGTGATGAGAGGATTCACCAGAGACAGAACGGGAAACAGAACAGGCAGACAGACAGAAAACACTGCTGAGGGGAGCAACGGGCAAGACAGGAGAGGTCTGCTGTGCCATGTGGGTAGCTCCCTGGCAGGCTGGGGATCGAACTCGAACTCAACTAGTGCTTGCAGTAGCTGAGGATAGCTTCAGAGTGCTGAAGCTTAACCCCTTGCATCACCAGGGAGGTCCACAGCTTAAGTTTTCAGGGTAATAGTGTAACAGTGTACTTTCCATGGAAAGGGGAGGTTCCATGGTCCCTGCCCATCTAGTGAAGGGTGGAACTGAGCAGCGAGAGGAAGCTAAAAATGGACCTGAAGGAGACACGTGGAGCAGAGACATGTGAAGAAGAATCCTTGCTTGCTTCTTAGCCCTAGACTTTTATCAGGGACTTGGGGGACATGGAAAGATGTTGCATCAGCAATACTGCACTGATAAAGTAGAGAAACAGGACTTGTGGAGCAGGCTATAGGATGCAGGATGCTGCAGAACAGCAAGATCCTGGCATTGTACTGATAAAAGAACAAAAAAGAAAAAAAGGGCTGGGCAAACTGAAAATAAGATTGTTATTTAGGGACTTCAGTAGCCCTGTTTTGGGTCAGCCCTGTTTTGGGTCAACCCTCTTTGGCTGGGCATTTACCCACAAGGGGAGGGTAACTTTGTGTGTCTCATTGGGAAACTTTTTAAATTATATTCTTTCTCTTCTCTATTGCACACTAATTCTATTAAAGTTTTCTATTAAAGTTCTTACGCACTAAGAGCATGTTTTGTCTGTATGTGGCAGATGGCAGAACTTATTTAAAATGCACAAGATTTGGGGTGTCCTTCAATCTGCATGCTGACAATAGGGATCCCGAGAAGCTTTCTCAGACTTTGACAGCCTGATCACCACGTCTTTCCCCATGACTGCTGCATGCTGCTCCTTGCCTCTACCTGGTGTCAAATAGACTGTTCACAGCTGCCTCTGCAAACAGAAACAAGGCTGTTCTTTCTTTTTATTTTAATATTTTCTTTTTTTTTTTTTTAAAGATTTATGTATTTTTATACAAGGGCTGGGGTATAGGCCAGAAGCGCGGGAGGGTGAGAGGATTCACCAGAGAGAGAGAGTGGGGAGCAGAACAAGCAGACGACCGAAGATACCGCTGAGGGGAGCAGTGGGTGAGACAGGAGAGGTCTGCCGCACCATGTGGGAATCTCCCTGGCCGGCTGGGGAATTGAACCTGCACTGCAGAGGCTGCAGACAGCTTCACAGCACTGCACTCAACCCGCTGCGCCACCAGGGAGGCCAAGGCTGTTCTTTCTTATTAACCCCATAACCACAGGGCCTTGCACTGTGCCCGGCACAGAGCAGGCACCTGGTGAGTGGTCGTTGCACTTTGTTGGGGAAGGGGCTTTAAAGCTAAGGCCTTCCTTGAGGCCATACACTCAGGACTGGAGCTCAGCCCTCCAGATATCTCTGTCATGGGGGCTTATATGTGCTCCGGGCACTGGTGGGGAGAAGGTACAGGAGCCAAGTATAGGCAGAGGATGGTGTGTTCAGGGGAAAGCTCTGGAACTGTGACCTCCTCAGGCCCTGAAGACCATCAGCAAGATGGGTGAGGAAGGCTGGGAGGCACAGCTGTGGCCTGAGGCATGCACGTGGGGTGAGGTGGCGACCAGATGCCCACCCCATGAAGAGAGCAGAGCAGGGTGCCGGGAACAGCCTCTTGGAGGGCACCTGCTAGATGGGGCTGCTTGCATAGAGGACCAGAGACAACTCCACAGATGTGCACCGAGGCTGTGGCCAGTCCACAGGAGGGGAAAGGACAAGAAGAGAAGCAGGCAGGGCCTGGGAATATTCTGTAAAAATAAAGGGGGGAAGGAGAAGAGAATGTGGGAGGTAGATTGAAGTGATCAGAGGTCAAAGTGGAAAAGAGAAACATTGTCTGAGACCATTGGGAGACTTGAGTGGCGAGTGGGGACCTGGATCCCCTCAGAACAAGACTGCCCAGGCCTCAGCTACCCCCAAACAGAGTGGAAGGGGTGAAGGGATTCACCTGTGGAGATGCTTCACAACACTGGCTCAAGCCCGTCTGTCCCAGAGATTTTGACCTGGGCAGGTCCCAAGCTGTGTACTTTGGGGGAAATAAGGAAATTCATGCTTAGAAGGGTACACAGAAACACCTTGTAAATGTTAGCTATTATTCATTATTAATCCACAAAGCATATATTGAATATCTACTCTGTGCAGCCAGTACTACATGTCGGCACTGATAAGCCAACATCTGCCTCCTGGGACTTGTACAAGATTGAAACCAGCAAACTCAAAGTCTGCTGTAACCAATTAGTCATCGAGGCCTGTCTTTCCTGCCTCCTAAGTCCATCCCCTTCTCTCCACCCCCACTGCCCACAAGCCTGGGCCAGGCCACCATCCCCTTTCACCGCAGCAGTTCCCACAGTCCTCATTTCCTCTGCCTCCAGTCTTGACAGAATCTACAGGGTATCCAAGGGGTGGTGTAAAGGTACATCTTCCCTTTCTCTGTAAGTTCCCCAATCTCTTCTTGAGTGTGCTGCCAGCAAACAAAGCAAAGCCAACCTGGCTGGGGTAGATTAGATTTTGTGGGTTTCTGTCCCAGGCATCACACCCAGTTAGGCCTTTGCAGTGATGTGTGTGTTGGACGCCACCTAGTGGACAGTAAGGTAACTGTTTCCAGGCCATTAGATAACTCTCCAAGCTCTCCCAGAGTCTATTATCAAAGATTTAGTACACGGCCAAATTTTAAGAGAAAGTAGGAATATTAATATATGGAAACAATATTGAAGAGAGGTTGGGAGGCTAGAGAGAGGCACGCGTGTGAGGATTAGCAAACGATAGGCCCACAGACCTTGCCTCTCACGCCAAGGATGGGAGATGACATAGGAGAGTGTTAGCCGTGCGTTCAGTTTCATGATGTGGGTCTCACCATCAACACACTCTTTCTTCTATTGTTTGTTTCTGAATAAACCCATTTTTTTTAATAACCAGTTGCTTTTGTTTCAGATGAAACAAAATAGGTTGACCCATACTTGGTGACCCATATGGGGATCTGGAGACAGACTCCCAACAACTGAGGCTGCTGGGAAAGCAGGTATTGGTGGCTGTAGGGCTGAATCAGGCTGGCTGTGTTCTCACGGGCCCTGGAGTTTTTAGGGTATATTTTCTTCTGGATCTGAGATCCCCCAAAATTGGAGTTGTTCTCTTCAGGGAAGTATTTGGAAACTTATTGTTCATTTTAAGTATTTTTTTATTAGCTGGTGGCACCTGTCATGGCATACAGCCACCCCTTTAGCGGTCTTGTTCATCCAGGTGCCCTTATGCTAGCCTAGAAGAGATATTTGAATTCAGGTGACTCTGAATAACGAATAGAGCAGCGAAGGCCTTCAGTCCAACCCAGGAGCTTGCCACAGCTTCAGTGCACCTTCTTCCAACCAGACCTTCCTAATTCCCACTACTGGGACTCCCAGAACTACATCCCAATTATCCTTCTCAATCAATTTGGAGGTAAAACTCTTTAGACTGACACTGGAGTTACATTTCCAGGGCTTACCCCCACAGTGATAAACAGTCCAATTGTGGGGAATTGATTTTTTTTTTTAAAGAAAAGGTCCTATTTCCTTTGTTCAGGCTCTCGAATGATCTTGTCCCTTGCTCCTTAGTTCCTCGGCCCCCACTTACTCGGTTGAGACTTCTAAGAAAAACATGCTATAGTCTTCCTCCTAAAGGGGGAAGTAATTCAAGAGGTTGACAGTAGTGATTAGGATAGTTAACCAAATGAATTAGATGAAACTTCAATAGCATTTATCTGCCCTGCCTCTGATGGGATGAAAGTTGATTCTGGAGACTCTGATTTAAGTCCCTATTGAATCAGTTACCATTCCCCTTATAGGAAAATTCTTCTATTGATGCTGGCAAAAATCATAGTGCAGGGGTCTCCCTGGTGGTGCAAGGGGTTAAGCGTCAGCACTATGAAGCTATAGCAGCCTCTGCAGCACAAGTTCGATCCCCAGCCAGGGAGCTGACCCACATAGCACAGCAGAGCTCTCCTGTCTCACC